ATATATATATGTATATATGCATGCATTCAAAAATGACCAGGCTACTTGCAAATTCTTTAATGTTCCATAAACTTCCCCATTTTCACATTGCTTCTCAAGTTATTTCATCACTTTGAAGTGCTTTTAGAAATTGACCTTCACAACTATAAGCATCATCAAAGTTTCTTAGGGTCCTATGCTTCAGATTTGCCTGTCTTCTTTCTAGTGCTCTGTGGCTTAGGTTAGGTCAAGTTTCACAGTTCTCTCCACTCTCCTACTCTAGATCTCACCTCTCTTATATACAAATTCCCAACTCTTCTCACCTTAATTGGGATGGCCTTAAGTAAAAAAATACCTCAAAAAGATCTTCCTGCCTTTGTTCTGATTTCTCATTAATCTCCTCATTACTTAATCGATGCCAGGGAACAATGTGTACTGGAGAAAGGAGGAAAGTATTCTGGTTTATGGAAAGAATTAAGCCCTACTAAAAATGTATGACTTTGCATTGTAATTTTCATCATAGACTTATAATTTTTGTTAATTTACCATTAATTGATCATTGTAAGAAAATTGATATAGTCAAATTTTTAGATCAGCAAGGTAAAGGACAAAACCTGAATTTTAGTTAGTTTAGCACGGCAGTTATTCACTTGAGTCTATCAGTAGTGCCACACTTTAAAGTAATTTCAACAGAGATTGTGTTTGTCTTATAAATGTTAGGAGTGCATATTTAATACACCAAAGAATTAACTCAACCAACTCTTAAAGTTTAAGAAAGAATTGCTTTAACAAATGAAATAATAGATTTAATTTTAATAACTCTTCCTCCCAATATTTCAAGGGAAAGATAAAAGAAAATTTGCCCAATGTTGACTTTTTCTTACTGCCAACTTCCTTATACAAACTGAAAATATTAAGAACCAACTTGAACAATGTTTACAGAAATAAAAACGCTCAGAAAAATTTTTAAATGTTATCATTATTCCATCCATAACATGATAGGAGATATGAAACTAGATTTTCATTTTGCTTAAAGAGAAACAAACTCCAATTATTAACTGTAATACCAATTTTAAATGCATTGATTTTTCTTTTAGATATAAAACATGGTTAAAACAGCTTTTAAAAGTTTTTTAAATACAAAAATCCAACATAAACTGCTATAAATGATCAAATGTTTTAAAATATCACTCTATAGTATATTCAAATCCAATCAAAAGCAAGTTTTAAATTAGAATTCAAAAGAAAGAAGCAGGAAATATAAAAAGAATTCTGTGGATATTAGGGATTTAAAATTACTTAGAGAACTTTGCCAAAGTTATTATTTAATTTACATATTGTATAATAGATATAATCAAGATACAATATTTTAATAATTACTTGATATTTCTTTCTTTCTAGGACAAGATCTTTATAATCTAGGAATTATAATTTCGTGGCTATAATAACATTTTGATATTCCACTTCTAAGTTAATCCAAAATATGGTTTGACTTTTTCATAAACCACACAGCCAATACCTACTGCAGGAAGCACCTTTATGACGTTAGGAGTGATGCCCCTGAAAAATCCCCTTTTTCCTTTGTTGTATATTTCTTGAATGAGTCAAATCATAGGTGTTGTTTCTTTTTCCACCAGGGCTATAAATTTTAAAAAATCAGTACAGTTCAATATTTAATATTTATACACTAAAACAGTTGAATGAAAATGAGAACTTATTCAGCGTACATCTCTCTCCCTACATATAAAATAGTCCTGTGCTGTTCAATATGATAGCTATTAGACATGTATGGCTATTTAAATTTAATTAAAATTAAACTAACATTTGAGCTCCTCTGTCACATTAGTTTTTGTTTGTTTTGTTGTTTTTTTGAGACAGGGTCTCATTATGTAGTTGAGACTGACCTGGAACTCACTATGCAGCCCAGGCTGGTCTTGAATTTACAGTAATCCTCCTGCCTCAGCCTCCTGAGTGCTGGGATTACAGGCGTGCGCCACCACGCCCGGCTTTCCTCTGTCACATTATTAGCATTTGATAGTTACATATGACTCATGGCTACTATATTAGACAGTAAAGATAGAAAATATTGCCATTATTGCAGAAAGTTTTGCTGAACAACTTGGAAGTCTTCACAAGGATCATCAAAGGAGCACTTGGAATTGGGTTGACATAGTTTGAAAGAAGAATGGATGGATGATGGTATGGATAGAAAACTCCACTTTAATTGCAATATAAATTAAATTCAAAAACCTAATTATGGGCCAGGAATTTAGCTCAGTGGCACGCACCTGCCTTTCAAGCACAAGGTCCTGAGTCTGATCCTTGGTGAAAAAACAAAAAACTAATTAAAACGAGAGGGAGAGAGAAGATGTAAAAGAATATCACTTATCACATGACTGCTTGAATACTTCACTCAAGAAGATAACCATAAGATTATGTGCGGTTTTTCTCTTCTTCAAAAGTGATTAAAGTATTTTCTTAAAATCTAAATCCCTAACATTTTACTCAGAGAAGAACGAAACAGTTTTTTGTTTTTTTTTGTTTTTTTTTTTGAGACAAGGTCTTGTTATGTAGTTCAGGCTGGCCTTGAACTCACTATGTGGCCCAGGCTGGCCTCAAATTCACGGCAATCCTTCTGCCCCAGCTTCCCAAGGGCTGAGACTGCAGACATGCACCATCATATCCAGCACGAAACAAATATCTTCCCTACTTCTTAATATTTCCTCCCCAAGTATATTTAAATACAAAAAATTGAGTTCAATTCCACAAATATACTAAGTTCCTGACATAGAACATGACAATGATAGTAGAACCAAAGAAAAACTATTTACGTTGAGTAACTATTGATTCAATGTGAAGAAGACAAAACCTTTTCTACTTAGTTCTGCATGGTACTTCCAAATTAAGGACTACTTAAAAAGATAATCAGTAATAGAAGAAAATGTTGTTAGGTTCAGATATAACTTTAAAGAAGAAATAAAATCTATAATTCACAAAGCTCTAGTCAATAAAATAAACTCAACTTTCATGCTTTAAATCAGTTTCCTTTTCATTTATCAATTATATAGAAATCACTAATTTATACTTACTTAAAACATACTTCTAACCTTAGCAACCACTTTATTTAAAAAAAAAAAAAAACAAACTCACCTTCAGCCTGCATGCGAGTTCTAATCAGGTTCAGAGGGAAGCTTGCTAACTGCCCACAAGTATGAGACAACATACTACAGCCCAGCAAAATCATTATCCCAGGGTTTACAGAGTTTTCTGCATAATGTTCTAGCCAATAATTCTTCAAAAGCTGGTAGAAAAGAGAGCAATAAATTAACAACTGTGAAACTTTAAGTAGAATGCAACTTTAGTATAGAGGCTATCTGTGCTGTCATATTAGGACAGGATACGCAGATGTCTTCAAATAAATAACCTGTCTCTGTGTATATTTTATTTTGCTTTTTTGTCTCCTTTGCTTGCTTATTTTGGTTTTAAAAAGACTACAGCAAAATTCTGGATGTTCTCACAGGGCTTAACAAAATACTATAGAGAAGACTATATAATCTACCGGAGGCTTAAAAAAAACACAATTTCTCAACATTTAAGAAATATTATCTTAAATGAGAATCAAGACTTGTCATGTAGAGGTGCAAGATCCCAACAATGAATGTAACTGTACTGTATCCCTAAAATGTACCAATAAACTCAATTAAAGCTGAAAAAAAATATTATCTTTCCAAATTTGCCTTTCTTTGAATAAAAGTGACTGGAAAACATTATTTTAAAATATAACACTTATTTAAAAATAAAATAGCCTGCTGCAGCTTCCTGCAGGCCTGCTGCTTCATGCTAGAGTATGCTCCAACACTTCTACAGAAGTAAAACTTTGCCTTGTTCAGAAAAATTTTTTAAAAATAAAACATCACTAAATACTTTAAAACTGTTTATTATAAGAATATGATTAAAGTTAAAGCACCATTACTATTAGATACAGGGACAACTGTCCAGTGTATAATTTGATGCTTTTGTTTGTTTGTTTGTTTTGTTTTTGAGACAGGGTCTCACTATGTAGTTCAGACTGAACTGGAACTCACTATGCAGCCCAGGCTGGTCTTGAACTCACAGCGATCCTCCTGCCTCAGCCTCCCGAGTGCTGGGATTACAGGCATGCGCCACCACGCCCGGCCTGATGCTTTTGAAAATATAAAATTTAAGATATATTCTGTTAGTATGTACTTAGAATTATGTAATAACAAAAAAGAGAAATGTGCAATGGACCACTAATATAAAAAAGATACTAAACTCCAGAAATAAAAGAACGGAGAAAGCACAACATACACAGTAGCAATAATTTTAATAGTATTACAGAAGCAAGAAACAAAAAGACATATGCAAAGGCTGGGGAGTTAGGTCAGTGGTACTGCACCTGCCTGGCAAGTGCAAGGTCCTGAGTTCGATTCCTGGTACAAAAAAAAAGACATATGCTATAATAGTCAATACTGTAAGTATTTACTGAAATATAATTTATTGTACCTGTTAAAGTACTTAATGAAATCAGTTATCTTTCACATGATGGTGGCACTACTTGCAAAGCAATGCTATCAGGCCTATCCCAAGAGGGCCCATTTCCATAGTAAGAATGAATGTTATTTTAATCACATTATTCCCTTCTGGCTCTTATGACCAAATGATAAATATTGCTAAGATGGTCTTCCTGAGACAGATGTATGACCATAAAAATGAAATGACTAGCTAAAAATAGAGTACTTTGGAGTCTTACCTGATAGGGTTTTTACCCCATCTCCACGCTGGCTCTCATCCCAAACCCCTAATTATTCCTCCCTTTAATTCTAATTTTCACAGCTGTGCAATAATATTTCAGTTTTCTAAATATTACTTATATATCAGATTTTTCTGAGAAGTTAAAAAAAAACCTGAATCCCAGGCTTCTCCTGGAATAATTAAGAATCCAGAGTATTTCAGGACGTAGCCAAAGAATACTATTTTTTAAAGGATCCATATGTTGATGATTTTTATATGCATACAGACTTAAAAGCCACTATTATATCAGAATTTAGGTCTATGATCATTATCACCAAGAACCAATTTACAAAAAAAAAAAAACAAACAAACAAACCAAAAACCAAAAAAATTATTAGAATATCAGATGTCTAACATACAAAAAAGGCCAAATTAAAACACTGAGTTCACTTCTTCAGAAGCTATTTCATGCAAAATCATTTATATTTTTAGAATAAAAAAACATCATTGCACCATATCTTCAAATCTAACACATAACATCATATTTTGGCATGAGCTCACCTCATAAACAGCAAGATCTAAGCCTGCGTAGGGTATGATTCCCATCAGGTTAGAAACATAACCTTTGAAAAAGGTTCGCACACCCCCTTGCTTCAGAAGTTTCCTGATACAATCAACAATCCCAGAATACTCTCCAGTTTTAGCTACAATCAGTCTGGTCTTTATTACCTACATGTAAAAGAACATAATAAAGGTATATACATCAGATTCAACCAACTCATCCAGTAATCTAGTGAGGCTTATTATATCATAATATTTACAAATTTATAGCAATAAAAAATAAAGCAATCATAAGTATAATTATGAGGGCTGGGCATGTAGCTCACGGGTACAACTCCTGCCCAGCATGCATGAGGCCCTGAATTCAAACCCTACCACCATAAAGCGTAACAACTTACTTTTCAATAACTGATTCAGTACAGACATTTTAGAAAGTATTCAAAGAAAAAAATAAAATTAGTGTGCCTTTGATTGATATATCTGTTCAAACTCCTTTACTATATGATAAGGCCATGTGTACTGAAACAAATTAATTTGAGATAATATTACTGCCACAAAATAAAGCAAACATAGCCAAAACTCAAGTTTAAGAAAGTATATGGTCATGTTAAAGTGACGAGCCAATATGAAAAAAAAAGCACATATATATGCTTAAAATGTATAACCTGGGACTATTTTAGTAAAGCTTGTAAACTGTGCTTTAACATGACTTGAGCTCACCTGTGCTCATGAAGTAGTAACATCACAGAAGCCATGGGGACAACAGTTGGCTTGAGATAGCTCTATATGTTCAATATCCTCATGGCCAGTCTAATTCTCCTGGTAAGACTGTCACTCTGTCTTATCTTAATTTTCATTAATTTTCATTAATTCTATACATGCTTGGATAAATGGCTCTCCCAAACAGCCAACACAGAAGAAGCATAAACTCTGTCTTGATGAAGGAAACTGTGTAACATGATGGAGCTGCTATTGCACAGTCAGTAGGAAGTCTTTTGTTTCATGGACCTCTCAGGACAGACAATTCAGATAAACCCGTTCTTAAAATTCTCTACTCTCTCCAGGGCAGTACATTTCTTCCTACCAAGTAAATTTTTTATGCTTGCTTCACTGGCATGTTTTTCTCTTCTTTCTAAATTAAAAACTAAATGCTACTCCTTTTTTTTTTAACGAATGTCTACTTTTTTAAAACCTTTGCTCAAGCTGTTACTTACACCTAAATTTCCCTTCCTCACAATCTCTGCATGTCCAAATTCTAAGCCAAGCTCACACATTCTATTCATATCTTTCATGAAATCCCTACTTAGAAATAATTTCTCATCTTTGAATATCTATATACTAAAATGCACCATGTATTGATCCATCTTCTAGAATTGATTTTTCTATTTTGGATCATCATTATTTTGGATCATTACCAAGAACTTCTTTATCAATTTATTCAGTTCACTTTCTACACCAGAAGTTATGACTAAAATCCCTGTCTGACTTTTCTCTGGATCCTGTATAGAGCCCAGCAGAGTACTTTAAACTTAATGGACATGCAACCTGACTTGCCTGATTAATGAGTAAGTGATTCTATCATTCAAACAAGCTCTAGTCTATCTACAATACTACCCTTGTAGTAGACAGAAAAACATATTCTGAGACCAATACTTGACATAAAATTTAAATCCTGTAGCTATAAAGCCATTTCTTCTATAAAATATTAATCTAAAAATTCACTTATAAGAAGTTATAATTTGCATTAAAAGCATGCTTTTAGTTAAAATTGTATAATAATACATACCTCCATGGGGTAAATACAAGTCTGAGCAGTTGCACCAGCTAATGAACCAGCTATAAATCTTTCAAGAACTCCTACACGAGCACCATCAAAACTAAGCCATTTCTTATACTGCATAAATAAAAGTATTGAAAGTATTAGTGACATATAATATATGTACTATTTCTAAATTTGTATTAATAGTATAGTATGCAATAGTATAATTATACAAAAATGTATACCAGATACCTAATTTTAACTTCTATATAAGAGAGAGGTATGTAAAGGCCCTCTATTGTACCTCATTTTCCTTTTTTTCTAGTGAATAAGTTAATAGCAATATTAAATGACTTAAGCACATTTATGAATCTGTTATTTCATAAGGGACATACAATGACACAAAAGGAGCAGAAATTGTCTTTCATACTTTTTTAACATTATGGAAAAACACTTAATACTGTTTGGTTACTAGGTTATCAGGAATCATAGCAATATGAGAGGCTCTTTTGTCACAAGGAACAATTCATTTGTGTTCGCTCAAATTAACAGGTAAGTTAATTATAACAACACATGCCAAAAAGGAAAATCTAAGCCTAAAAGTTAGCCTTTCACAAGAACTAAAGTAAGCCAAGTTTCAGGGAGACTAAACCTAGAAAATCATTTGGGATCTAAAACAGCTCTAGTAAACAGATTCACTTATAACCTCCTAGGCAGAATAATTTCTTATTTTCCTTTTGTAGTGGTCTATCCACATTGTGATTATTCAGCTGCTTTTTATGATCTCACTCTGGTTCTCAAATCACTAAACTCTCCATCAGAAAGTATAAATGGCTCAGTTAGTATGGCAGAGACTGCTATCTGTTCCCAGTACTCTGTTTTCTTCTTTATTTTAGTAACACCATTACAGCTTACATTTTATAACAGTTACAGATCGTATTTCCATTTTCTCCCTTATAGGTAGTTTAGCTAAGTGGCTAATTTTGGCCAATGAGATATGAGAGGAAGTTGGGTGCAGAAATCCTGAGAAATCACCTTAAAGATATTTATCTTGTACTCCTCCTCTTTCCTCTATCTGGAAATAGCAAGGGCAAGTATGTTCTTCAAAGTCATGCACTGAAGATGGCAGAGTCACAGTTAGCCCTGAACCACCTGCCTCTCTCTTATTTAAGTTACTGTACTTTGGAATTGCTTTCTTATAACAGCTGAGAATGAACCTAACAAGCACAGAAATTGATTCCTAAATGTGGGATGTATTATGGTTTAGCTAAGTGTCTCCAAAGGCCCATATATTAAAGGCTTAGCACCCAGGCCAGTGTTATTGAGAGATACTGTGGCCCCTTAATAGGTACGGGTCTAGTAGGAGGTCACCGGGTAACTGGGAACCTACCCTCATAGAGAAATATGAAACTGCTACCCATGCTTTCTTTTGTTCTTGCATCCTGGTTCATAGGGTGAGCAATTTGCTCTGCCACATGTTCCTACCATGATGAGCAGCCTCATCAGAGGCTTAAAGCAGTGTCCCCAATCCCTAATTTTGGACTGGAACCTCCAGAACAATGGACCAAATGAGACTTTCCTCTTAATAAGTTAATTTTATCTGGCATTTTGTCATAGTAATGGTAAGCTGGCTAATACAGAAAATGGGTACTAAGAAGTAGGACCATTGTGGTAACTACATTTGACAATGCAAAAGAGCTTTTGAAATTGGTTTATAGAAGGAATCTGGAAGGTTTTGCATAAGCACGCTTGATTAAAAAAAAAACTGCTATAAGCAAATCCTATTAGTAATTCTGGTGAGAGCTCAGACTGCTGATAAAAATGTGGACAATAAGCGTTACGCTAATGATGCTTTAGATAGAAATGAGGACACTATTAAGAAATGAACTTAAGAATCTCCTTGTTAACTGTGAAAAAATAATTTGGCTTCATTTTGTCCATGCTCTGGGACTCTGTGGGATGTCAAGCATAAGGTGTTGGACTAGTATATTTTGTGGGGGAAATTTCAAGGCAGCAAATAATTTAGGCTACCACATAGCTTGGCTGCTTTTAGCCAAATTTGCAGTGAGAACTGGGAATGAAAAGAAGCAAAGTGAAAAAACTGAGAAAACATACAAATTGGCCAGAAAAGGAGCACATGATTAAAGTATGGCCAAGGGGGGTGCACTGTGCTAAAGACATTAGTGTTGTTAAAAAGCCAAACAGTGAGGCACAGTAGTATAGTCCTATAATCCCAGCTACTGACAAGGTTGAGGCAGGAAGATCATGAGTTGGGGTCAGCCTGTGCAACACAGAGAGAAGACTCAAATAACTAAAATTAGAAATGAAAAGGGACATTACAACTAATGCCACAAAGAGAAAACCATAAGAGACTACCATGAATAACACATGCCAACAACTAGATAACCTAGGAGAAATGGATAAATTCCAAGAAAAAAATGAAATCTACTACATGAATTAAGAAGAAATAGAAAAAATAAACAGACCAATCACAATTAAGGTAGAATCATCAATCAGAAAAGCTCCCAACAACAAAGCGAATGACCAGAGGGCTTCATGTGTGAATTTTACCAAATATTTTTAAATTAATCTTTCTCAAACTCAGAAATTAGAAGAGGGGATATTTGAAAATGAATTTTATGATATCACAAGAAAGCTATGACAACCTATTTTCCCAATGTACATAGATGCAAAAATCCTCAGTAAAAAGGTAACCAAACCAAATTAAAAATCACATTAAAAGGGTAATTCACCATGATCAAGTGATATTTATTGTTGGGGTGCATAGATAATTCAACATACTGAAATCATTCAGTTGTGACAAAGCACATTAACAGAATGAAAGAAAATAAACCACATGATTATCTCAACTGACACAAACAGGGATTCAACAAAGTTCAACATTAATTCAAAAATGAAATAATGAAATACAAACATAAGAAACTTATCTTCACACAGTAAAGGTCATATATAAAAAGTTCACTGTTAATGTTGCTGTGGTTTAAATGTGTCCTCCAAAGCTCATGTGGAAATTTAAGGGCAATGGCAACAGTATTAAGAGTGACTAGATCATAGAAGCTGCACTATTATCACTGGATTAGTGTTGTCATTACAGGAGCATTTAATTATTGCTAGGGCAGATTATAATAAATCAAATCTGGATCCTCTCGCTTCTTCTTTCACATGTGCTCATTTGCATTCTTGCTTCCCAACACGGGATGACACAGCATGAATGTCCTCACTAGACACTAGCATCTTCGGCTTAGACTTCACAGCCTCAAGAATGGTGAGAAATAAGCCTCTCTTCTTTATCAGCTACCCAGTCTGTTACATTTTTTATAGCAGCAGAAAATAGACTAAAACCATCACCATAAAAAATGAGGAAAAAGCAAAAGCTTTCCCTCTAAGATCCAGTACAAGACAAGAAAGCACATTCCTGCCACTTCTGCTCAACATAGTACAGGAATTCCTAATCACAGCAACCAGACACGAAGTATAAATAAATAAAAAGTCAAAGAAAAAAATATAATTGTTTTCAGGTGACATAATCATATATTTTTTAAAAACTAAAGATTCAACCAAAAAAACTGTCAGAATTAATAAATTCAAAGAAATTGCAGGGAAGAAAAATCAACATGTAAAAATTACAGTGAAAAAAACCAACATGGCACTGTTACAGAAACAGACATGAGAATCAATGGAAAAGACTAGAGGCTTCAGAAAAGACTCCAGACACATTTAGCCACCTCATCTTTGACAAGTGGACCAAAAAATATCTGATGGAGGAAAGTTAGCCTCTTTAGCAAACAATGCTGGGAAAACTGGCTATATACATGCAGAAGATTGAATCATATATCTTACCATGTACTAAACTAAAATAAATGAATCAAAAATCCAAATATTAAAACAGAAATGTTTAACCTACTAGAATTTAAAATGGGTAAAACTCTTGAATTCATTGGTGTAGGCAAGAACATTCTTAATAGAAGCCCAGGGGCACAAGAAATAACAAGAATCAACAAATGTGTTTATTTCAAATTGAAATGCATCTGCACAGCAATGGAAACAACCAACAAAGTAAAGAGACAACTCACAGAATGGGGAAAATTTTTTTTCCATTTCTTTGTATATCTGGAATATAAAAAGAACTCAAAAAATTAGACCCCCAAAATAAAAGACCCAATTTAAAAAATAAGCATTTCAAATGAATAGACACTTCTCAGAAGAAATATAAATGAGCTGTAAGTACATTTAAAAATATTCCCATCTCTGGCAAATGAAATACAAATTAAAACAATACTGAGATTTCATCTTACTCCTAAAAGAATGGCAATCATCAAGAAATAAATAACAGGGGCTGAGGATTTAGCTCAATGACACTGGGTTTGCCTCACAAGCACAAGACCATGAGTTCGATCCCCAGTACCATAAATAAATAAATAGCAAATGCTGGTGAGGCTATAGTTTAGAAAAAAGAAAAGAAAAGAAACCCTCCTGCATTGTTAGAGGGAATGTAAACTATGGAAATCAGTGTAGAGGTTCCTCAAAAAGCCATAAATAGGGCCAGGGATTTAGCTCAGTGATTCCACCACCTGCCTCACAAGCACAAGGTCCCAAGTTCAATCCCAAATTTGATCCCTGGTACCAAAAAACAAAACAAAAAAAAAGCTAAAAGTAGATATTACATTTAACCCAGCTCTTCCCCCTACTATTCCCCTACTAATAGCATTTTTGTTATTGTTGTTCCTTTTTTTTATATTTTTCCACTTTGTTTTTAGTCTTTTTTTCATTTTTCTTTTCTTGTTTTTTTATGTCTTACTTAATTCTATTAATTAACTTTCTTCTTTAATAAAATTCTCAATTTTCTCTCCAATTCCTCATCTTCCTTTTCTTTTTCAATTTTACATCGTTCCTTTTTTCCCTTGTCCCACACCCTCCATTTATTATTAGTATATATTAAATTTTATTATTTTTTAAGCTATTTAGTTCTCCATGTTATTATTCCTAAATTCTTTTCTATTGTCAATGCTGCTTTTAGTAGTTGTTGCTTTTAGTAGCTATTTACTGTATGTCAATATTTGGTTTGTCTTTCTGTCTACATTATTATTGCAAACCCCTTTTCTGTTGTTAATGATGGTAAACTGTAGCTTTTATTGATTCTTATAGAACATCAATAATCAGTTTGTCTTTAGCTCTTATTACTTCTGATTTCTGTTGTTAATAATGGCATAGTTGTTGCTTTTAATAGGGTTGCCCTTTGTGTCACCAATATGATTGTAGTTCTCTTTCTCCTCTCTGAGTGGTGCTGAGAACCAAGCTCATAGAAGATTAGACACTAAAAAGACCTTCAAATATTATATTGAACAGGTTGAAGAGGGGTATAAATATCAAAACATAACCAAACTCAAGGATATATCACAGGGAGACAGAATCTACTGAGATTCCCAAGGTTGTGACCATTTCTCTACCCTAACTGATATTTAACCCACAGTGCAAAGTATGACAAGATGACCCCCAAAACCCTAAACTCCCCAAAAACTGATATCATGCACAATGAAGGAGAGGAACTTATATGCAAAGAACTAAAAAACCAAGTGGTCAAAATGTTTGAAGGGGTAAAAGAAGAAACATATGAAACAATGAATCAAAGAGCTGTTTCTCTGAAAGTATGGAAACAGGTCCTGGGGATAGGAACAAATTATGAATCCATCAATGGATTCATCCATTGATGTATTTAGATCTTTCAATCACCTTTGAAAAGTTCATCAGCTGGCAACTAAATCTTTAGCACACAGCCTTTATTTTTATTTTCTTGGTGAAACTGGGGATTAACCGTATGCTCTTTGCACTAAGCAATACCCTCAGCCCTTTTGCATCTTTTTATTTTGAGATCTAGCTGAATTGTTCAGGCTGGAATAGAGCTCATAATCCTCCTGTCTCGGTCTCCCAGAATCCTGGGGTTACAAGTATGTGCCACTTTAGGGAACATTTTAGATCATAACATAACACTGGGATAAAGAGTTTATATAGAGTCCAAGAAATAAAATATATAATCTCTGAAATTATTATAATTCATTTTCTCACCCACACAACACCACCCCTCTGACAAGGATCTCTTCTATAAGTTAAGAGAAAAAAGTGGAGTCCTCAAGAAAAGTCTGGAGAAGAATGAAGGTTAAGCAAGGAGGAAGGCAGAGCTTCTAAGCAGTGAGAAACAAACAAACAAACAAATGAGATTATAAACAAATTTTATCAGAAAAACTTGTGTCTTTCACACCTTATTGAAACTCCTTTCATTCTCTTTAACCCCATAAGGCGACATGCCCTTGGAAAGGTTAGGAGGAATCATAATGGGGCTTAAGGAGAGGAAGTATGAAAATAAGCTACTATCTGTCTCTAGTCAAGCTTTGCACTAAATAGGGAAAAGGATGACCTTGGTTGCTTGTTCGTGATCCACTGCAGTTCACCAGGGTCAAAGTAAAAAGAAATTTAAAGTCAAAGTCCTAGTTATTACCAAATAGTACATGCATCCTTTATGTTGTACATCACCAGAAGTAGTGAGGAAAGTGTACTGATGATTTAGGACAGTGATAGTGAACCTTTTAGAGCTTTCAATGATACACACAGCCCACTGAGGCACATGTGCCATAGGTTCAACACCACTGATTGAGGATCAGGCCATTTTTCTTCCATCTGTGCCAGATCTCACAAATAACAACATACATATTCCCAGTAACAACCAAAAATTCACAAACTGCTGTTTTTTTATAATTTTACAACTTACTATTTTTGCTCCTAAATTGATATTTCAATTTAGATAAATCATCCATAAAGTTCACCATCTAGTTTTGACAGTGTAAGATCCAAAAGGGCAGAGAAACAGTATCTATCTTCCTTAATCATGCAACCCCAGACTCCAGCATAAGACCTAGCTCATGGTAGGCTCAGAGTGAGCATTTGAATCCAAAACCTACTGGAAATAAGATATTATAGATCAGTATGCTGCCTGATATCACTTTATATCATTAGTACTGACTTCATCTGCGTTCCAACTCTCGTCAGAGACTAATTCATACCTCTTCTTTCCTCAAGCCTCCAACATGCCCTTGCTTTCCACGTCGCAGATGAAACTGAAACCCCAGGAAGAAACCTTCAACAAGCCCACCTACAACTGTAATACTTCTCCTATGCCTCGGCAAGAACAAGCCCTTCCCTAAACACTCATTCCCACCTCCTCTCCCCTGAATCTCCACTCACTCATCTGAGGACAGTACCTTAGTAACAGTCCTCCCTCTTTCTTATACTGTCAGTTGTCCTCTCTCCACTGGATCATTCACCTAAGAATACAAACATTGCTTCTTCAATTCCTAGAAAAATGCTCTCCTGGTCCCAAGCCCTCACCATTTGCCACTTCTCTTCACAGTGAAGCTCCTTGAAAGAGTTGTCAATCTCTAGCCTCTCACCTCTATTCTTCCCGAAGCTATTGTTTATCATCTGACAGACCACATATTTTATTGGCTTGTTGTCTCTTCCTACATATATTCTAAGATAAACTCTACAAAGACAGGTAGGTCTTTTTGTTTGGCTGGTTTTTGTTTCAATTTGTTGCAATATCTCCATCACCTAGAAAAGAGTCTGGAACACACCAGGGTGTCAAGAAATATCTGTTGATGAAAGCAATGCTTGTTGAATGAATAAGCAAATCCCCATTTAAGTAAGAAATATATGTTTTAAAGATGTACCTTAGAACTAAGTCTGGTGTCCTCCTACTCATCTACTTGCTTCTCAACTACATGAGTTGAGAAAGATACCATTAGTCTTTATTTTCTTAAAAATTTGAGGAAGCACTTTAATTCTATATGCTCAAAAAAGGTTTAAGGAAAAGTTAATTACTACAAGATTTACACTGAAAAAAAATTCCTTGAGTATACAGAACATCCTTGGATTCTTATGTGACACAAGTAATTTATAATTGAAAACAGACAGCTCATCTTAAAGTAAATTTTTAAGCTAAAGGAAGATCCTAAATCAGATTTACAAATTATAAAATTCATTGTTGTATTAGTCACTTTCATATCTCGAGGACAAAATATCCTGACTCCTGCAACTTAAAGGAGGACAGGCTTATTTTTACTTCACAATTTCAGTAGATTCGGTCCAGGATCAGCTGGCTCCAAGGCAGAAATGGCATGCAGATGGCATGGTGGGAAAAAAACTGTTTACCACATGGTGACCAGGAAAGAAGGAAAGAGAAAGGGAGAGGGAGAGAGAGAAAGGGAAAAACTACAGATAAGAATACATCCTCCATCCCTCCAACCAGGCCCCACCTCCAAACATGAGATTTTGGGAGGACATTTTAGACCTAATTCATAACAAGTGTGCTATTTCTCATCAGTTCATTATTTCACTGAAAGATTAATCATTTAGTGACTAAAATACCGAAATCTCTATAAAACATTCAAATTATTCAAAGGTAAAACCAATTATAAAATATTTATGAGAGTTTTCCACATTGTGATATTGAAATTAAAAGAATTAATAGACTTTAGTTATAATATAATACAATATGAAGACACAATCAAAGGAAAATAAACAAAGTCACTAATACATTGACAATTATTACTTGTGTACACTCCAGTTTTCTCTTGCATAAACATCTAATTTTTAAAAAATTAAACTTATAAGCTGATATTAAGTTAAAATTCCACAGCCAACAGCATTTTACCTGTTCATAGGCCCCAATCTTAAGTGCTGTCTCTGGTGCAATTTTAAAAACATTTATACCATTTCCTTGCCAAAGAGAAAGAATTCCTCCTTCTTTTACCATCTGCTCAAACACACTAATCAATCTCATTTTCCTGGTCTTTAAACTGTGAACCTAGAAATGAAATAGTAAATTTATTTTTTAATCTATTTTGTTGACAATATGACATCAGTATTGCTATTCCTAATGAAATATATACATGTATAAATTCATAATTATCAAGTATGATTTCATTTTCCTTTAGAAATATATAAAGTTGATATATTAATTTTTTCTTGTCTCCAAATACATCCTTTCATTACAATAGACCCCTGTATCTATGATCTTGCATTCCATGCTTTCTGTGGTCCATATAAAGGAAATGGAAAATTACAGAAATAAATTGCATGTTTTTCTGAGAAGTATGATAAAATCTCACAACTTCCATTTTCACTCTCTCCTCCGATTATGAACACCCCCTTGTTCATTGTATCTACATTACATATACTATCCTTCCATTAATCATTTAGTAGCCATCTCAGTTGATCTTCTAATGCAGTATCATCACAATGTTTATGTTCAAGTAACTCTTATTTTAATTAATGATGGCCCCTAAGTGTAAGAATAGTGATGTTAGCAATTTGTATATGCCAGAGACCCTATAAAGAGCTTCCTGTAAGTGAAAATATGAAAGTCATGGAACTTTCATTACAGTACATTGTTATAATGGTCCAAACTTTCTCTTAAGAAACAAGTAGGCGGACTTTTTGGAGATGGGTAAGGAGACTAAGTGAGAGAGGAGGTAAAGAGGAAAAATGGATCAAAAATGACCAACATATGTTACATACAAAATCAATTCCCCAAAATGAACATCACACTTATGTATTACAAACATAGTAATAAAGGAGAAACAAGAATGAAAGAAAGTATATCAATTTTGTTTGTTTGTTTGGCATCAGGGATCGAACTTGCGAGGTAGGTGGCAGAAACACTGAGCTAAATCTCTGGCCCATACATCAAATTTTTAACAGTGGATATTTTTGGTTATTGTGGTAGTCAATCTTAATTGTCAACTTGATGGATTAAGAGGCTCCACGGGAAACCTGGGAGCATTCTACTCCCCCATGGATAAATTCACTAACGTTCATAGCTGAAAGTGCTACATGGAGGTGGGGTCCAGTTGGAGGTGGATGACTAGGTGTATGCTTTTGGAGAGTTTACATCTTGCTGTCACTCTGGCCCTGTACTCTGCTTCCTATCCATCTGAAGCAAGCAGCTCTGCTCCACCATGCCCTTTTGCCATGATGTTTCTGCCTCTGAACCAAGCAGCCATGCACTGAACGCTGTAAACCATGAGCAAAATAAACCTCTCCTCCTTCCTGTGGAAGATGTCAAACATTTTTCCCAGCAATGGGAAAGTTGACCAATATAGGTGTCACAGTATTATGGGATCAAATTGTGTCCCACACAATTCATAGGTTGAAGTCCCAGTGTATTTACAAATGTAATCAAGTTTTAGGGAGATCATTGGATACCCTAACCTAATATAACTGGCATCTTTATAAAAAAGAGAAATTTGGGCACAGAGACATAACATGCAAAGAGGGAAGATAATGTGAAAAGACATAGAGGGTGGCTATCTACAAGATAAGGAAATGGACCTGAAGCAGACTTTCCCTTGTAGCCCTCAGAAGGATCCAAACCTGCTGACACATCGATTCCACAACTATGACCAACACATTTCTGCTGGTTAAGCCAGTTTGTGATACTTTGTTATAGAATCTCTAACCAAGGAATAGAGAGGATTACATACTTTTTTTTTTTTTTTTTGGTACCAGGATCAAACTCAGGGTTGAACTCCACTCAGTTCTATTACAGGTTTCCCCTGCCAAAGATATCCCCTGTTCCTGGGTAGGAAGAATCAACATAGTGAAAACAGCCATACTACCAAAACTGCTATATACATTCAATGCAATGCCAATTGAAATTCCAACACTATATTTCACAGAACTAGAAAAAAAAATCCAAAAATTCATTTGGAACCATAAGAGAACTAGAATAGCAAAAGCCATTTTAGGCAACAGTCACATGGCACCAGGTGTAACAATTCCCAATTTGAAACTATACTACAAAGCCACTGTGATAAAAACAGCATGGTACTGGCAAAGAAATAGGCCTGAGGATCAGTGGAACAGACTGGAAGACACAAAAACAAATGCAGATGTACTCAGCTACCTCATCTTTGACAAGGAGCTGACCATCCTCAGTGGAGGAAAGATAGCCTCTTCAATAAATGGTGTTGGAAAAACTGGATGTCAACCTGCCACAGATTAAAATTAGACCCTTATCTTTCGCCATGCACAAAATTAAAATCCAAATGGATTAAAGATCTAAATATTAAAACAGAAACATTAAACTTGCTGGAA